CGAAGAGGAAGGTACTGTTGAAAGGTTGGAATCCCCACGATAGGGCGCCTTCTCCCCTCTCAAAAAAGGTGAGGAAAGATACTACGCTTTCATCTCGGCTGAAAGGCCGTTTATTTACTTGAACCCCCACTTAGTCAGGTTGTGACACAAGGTCACAAGCTGGTAGCTGGTCATAGCTTGTCCAAGCTGGTCAGAACTGATCTAAGCTAGTTATAGCATGTCTTAGCTGGTCAAAGCTTGTCCAAGCTGTTCAGAGCTGGTCTAAGCTAGTCATAGCATGTCTTAGCTGGTCATAGCTTGTTCAAGCTGGTCAGAGCTGGTCTAAGCTAGTCATAGCATGTCTTAGCTGGTCATAGCTTGTTCAAGCTGGTCTAAGCTAGTCATAGCATGTCTTAGCTGGTCATAGCTTGTTCAAGCTGGTCAGAGCTGGTCTAAGCTAGTCATAGCATGTCTTAGCTGGTCATAGCTTGTTCAAGCTGGTCAGAGCTGGTCTAAGCTAGTCATAGCATGTCTTAGCTGGTCATAGCTTGTCCAAGCTGGTCAGAGCTGGTCTAAGCTAGTCATAGCATGTCTTAGCTGGTCATAGCTTGTTCAAGCTGGTCAGAGCTGGTCTAAGCTAATCATAGCATGTCTTAGCTGGTCATAGCTTGTTCAAGCTGGTCAGAGCTAGTCTAAGCTAGTCATAGCATGTCTTAGCTTGTCATAGCTTGTCCAAGCTGGTCAGAGCTGGTCTAAGCTAGTCATAGCATGTCTTAGCTGGTCATAGCTTGTCCAAGCTGGTCAGAGCTGGTCTAAGTTAGTCATAGCATGTCTTAGCTGGTCATAGCTTGTCCAAGCTGGTCAGAGCTGGTCTAAGCTAGTCATAGCTAGTCTTGACTTGTCATAGTTGTTCCAGGCCAGAGCCGGTCCAAGCTAGCCGGAGCCGTGATACCACCAGCACAGGACCGGAGCCCGGAGCCAGGTAAGTATCAAGCGATCAAATCTCAGCCAAAAGGCCGAGAAACGATCAAAACAACACTGGTTCCAATGCATGTTTCATTCCTGCGTCGAGAAAGTTTGGTGTGCTTGTAAAGGTAATAAGATTGGTCAGTCTTTTTTGTTTTGTCTTGCGTGTGTCTATGTGTGCGAGTGTGTGCAAGTGTGTGCGTGTGTGTGCGTAAAAAGAGAGAGAGAGAGAGAAAGAGACAATCTCGCTTTCCAGATGTGCGGAATAAAGCGTACCCCGAGTGATTTTCTCCGTCTTTTACCGTGTAAACTCTTTGCTGTCGAAATATATATGTTCCCTTTATCTGTCGTCCATCAACTCTAATTAACAGCACGCTTTTCCAGATGCCGCCGCCACACACATGGCCTGACACCGCGAAAAGACATCACAATACTTTATCTTGTAGTGTATATAATAAAAGAAAACATTACAAGTTGATCATATTGATAATTTTGTCTGACGACTCAAGTCGTCCATTGTCAAATTCAGGACTTTTTTTTCTCTGAACATTAAAGATCGTTTTAAATTTGGATGAATTATATTCACATCGGATTTCTGTAGTAGGTTTGATTTACTATAGTTCACTTACATGAAACGGGATAATTAAAAACAAAACTGCGCTTATATAATTTACTTTAAGAAACAAACACAAACAAGTATTCTTCAATAAGATTAAAACAATAACTTAATTTAAATTTCCCAGATTCCGCCGAAGAGACCCAATATCAACTTAAAATAGTGGATATTTGAAAAAATGCCTAAATTACATAGTATTAAATTATGTACCTCCATGAGATCGCTAAAAAAGAACATAGCATGATGAAAAAGACCCCAAACTTGACGATAACAAAATTCTATCATCTAAATGTTTATGTTATTATTAAAAAGAAAGATCAAAGTATTTTGGGGTATTTTTTTTTTTTACATTTTTTAATCGTTCCTAGCACGCCCGAAGTTTTCTTTAAAAATTTTTGTTTTTTTTTTTGAGTCAGCAAAATTGACAGATAATCAATCATGTCAACCATTTTGTTCCATTTTATAAAAAAATAATGAAAATCACAGTTTGAAATTCTTTTAAAAATCAATTATAATTTTTCAAAACTTATTTTAAGAAAATCAGAAATTATAATATTAACTTATTCAGATTCTGCGCTGAAAAAGTGTAGTTTGAAAATTAATCAAAGCAGGTCATAACATTTCGCGTCACTTGACAGGTGATGAATGACATATTGACGGATTACGCGAGGATAATTTGTTCTACGGAAGCCGAAAAGTGAAGTTATTTAGATTTAAGTGAACAAATTGTTTACCTCGTTATTTTTAAGAAAAACTTTCATCGCTCTATTTTTTTTTTTTTTTTGTACTTAGCTTTCACCTTTACGTTTACGATGCTTTATGGAAAATATATTATAAAGAAATTAAAATAAGACTGTTAAGAGTGAGATTAATTTTCATATTTCGTAGGAATGGTATCTAATTAATTTATAGGTACCTTTCTTATGAAATTTTATCAGAAGTGTACATAAAATACTATAATTTTACATACATTTATTACATTTTACTCTGTTATTTGCATTTCCATTCATTTTATCATTAATTTTGATATTTTATTTATGGAAAAATGTCATAACTGAGATTAATATAAAAATAAGATCATATAAATTTCATAAGATGATACTGATACTTGTAGGTACCCTTCTCAGTTGAAATTGAAAAATCAAATTAACTTCTCCACACGTGTTTCGCAAAAGTAAAGGCTTTAACAGCGGAGAACAATGTTTAACTCAAATACCGCAACTTAATTGTATTCTAGTTGGTCTTCCATACTTTATAATTACAGCCCGATTATAAACACAAAATTACATTTCTTAATTACTGCGGGTCTTCTGATTAGTAAAAACGATACAATTTACAATGTGGTAAAAAAAAAGATCTATCTCATAAGGACATTTACGAAACTGGATGCGGATTTGAATTAATTTTATAATATTTTAACAACTTAAATGTAATAATAATTAAAGAAAATAACAAATAATTGTATAAAAAAAATTATTTTTCATCGAAAATTCTTTTTTCTTTCAGAAAATATTGTCCATATTCATAAAAACAACTAAAAGCAAATAAAAGAATTTGAAATTAAATAATATCTTTGTTTTATTGAGTTTTGAATTCAGAGCTGATTTTCAAGTTGTTGTTGTTGGTGGTGGTGGGGGGGTCCAATTAAAAACATAAAAAAACATGATTTGCATTCCTCAAAGCTTTGTGCTTTTAACTATTGTAATCACTAAACTGTATCCGATCGAATTTCTAGAGTTTTCATAAAATTAGTTATGGGGTAGGGGTAATAAATATAAAAAAGAATATTTCTGCCATGACTTTAATAAAAAAAAAAAAACATATTTATATTTTCTACCATCTGTGAATAGTTTCTTAAAGTCTCATTAACATCCGACAATTATTTTTATTTTTGCAAGATTTTCAAAATTAATGTCTGTCATACAAAAAAAACGTGCTAAAAATTGTCTATGTTATTTTGCGGTGATACAAAGAGAAACAAGGTTTTTTAATCAAAATTTAGAATGTTCTAAAAAGAAGGATTTTTTTTTTTTAAATAATTAAAATAAACTTTGGTCTTTTCTCTTAATAATAACATAAACATTTAGACGATAAAATTTTGTTTTCGTCAAGTTTGGCGTCTTTTTCATCATGCTCTGCTCTTTTTTTTAGCGATCTCATGGAGTTACCTATATTAAATAAATATATAAGAGAATATCGCCTTTTCTTTTTTTCGGGTGGGATGGAAAGGTACGGCACAGAGACGAATCCCCATTGCCTATTTTTTTTTTTTTTGTAAAAAGAGTCTATAATTTTGTATGGAACCATATCATTCCAAGAACTGTTCAAACAGACAAATTCGTTCTTTCTGTTTCTGGTGATGCTAACGAAACGTTTCAGTCGGTCAATCTTACAGCTTTCTTCAGCAAAAAATTAATATTAAAAATGACATACATGAACCTCTTGGTTGGTTGTTTCAATCCGGCCTATTTTGCATTTCATCGCGGTGTAGTTTTCTTTCCTCAACAAACATGAGTATTGGAGAGTATCCCCGTGTGACAACACTGAATGAGAAGAATGTCTTTTGTGTGATTCGTGTTGCTGAGAATGGCCCAAACGCCGGGAGGATATAATAATAATAATAATAATAATAATAATAATAATAATAATAATAATAATGATAATAATAATAATAATAATAATAATAAAAAAGAAAACGTTAGTATTTGAACCTTCTCGCTCTCTGTCTTTTTTTGTCAGCGCAAATCGTAGAAAGCCAAATTATCGACTTTTTTCTTCTTCTGGGAAAACAATAATAGTTCCTTCAAATTCGGCTTATTTACAATAATGTTCACCCTGTACAAGGCTCAAGCGTCACTCGAAATAGATGCTTACAGAGTAAGAGGTACAGATTATGGTGATAAGTTAGCAAGATAACGGTTAACTCTAGATTTTAACATAAATATTGTAAAAGCATTCTTTTGGAAGTAATTTCCAATAGAGATATTTTGATTGATTTGTTTTCTACGGTTTATCAACACTTGGCGAGTTATTTAAAGCCAGAAAATTTATTTTTTTTAGATTGTGAGAATTTATTTAGAGATAACAGTTATTTAATGATACAAGCATTACCAATTAACCTATAACTCGAGGGAGAAGTTATGGAGCGTAAGTGAATATAATATATACCCAACTAGAATTGGAGATCGGCTCACCGATTAATAATTCCGAGCCATTACCTATTACACCACCTGCACATCCAAGTTTACTGCACCTGGTATACACAAGCGGTCACCCATCGAGATACTGACCAGGGTCGACGTTGCTTAAATGTGATCTCTCGGGAAAAAAAATATTAGTAAAACTGGTATCACGATACCATTCGAAATCTAAAATATTTTCTGGTTTTAAATAACCAGTAATGGGTTGATAAACCGTAGAAAACAAATCATTCAATCAT